CACACACACACACACACACACACACACACACACACACACACACACACACACACACACCAGTATGGATAAATGACTCAGACACAAAGAAAAAGACATGAACACACAGCATATGGGTGGACTGACATACTGACAGTGAACAGATAGACATAGGCTGACATGCAGACCACACATTTTGACCCAAGTCATGTTAAATGACCCAAACACTAATTTAGAGACTAGCTGCAACCCAAACATACCATGATGGTTAGCACAAGCCTCAGCACACCTGTACACAGGCCCTTAATAAAATCTGAATGGCACACATGGAACTACCAAGGACATCTACCCCTATTTGTCCCCATCCAGGCTCCCATAATGGCCCTGCCACTCTCCACCCCCTAACTGGGCACTCAACAATCCCCTGCCCCACTCCCACCCTGGCTCTGAGCCCATCCTCCAAGGGTCTAGAACAGTGGCTCTCACCGTAGCCCCCAAGAATAGCTGGGATGTGTTAAAAAGCAGATCTCCCCCTGAGATTCTGATGCACGTCTGAGGCACCTGGCGCACTGGGCTGAGCCCCACCCCTGAGAAATGCTGTTCCAGGTGGCAACACCCTCAACTCCAGGGAAGCTCTTGGCCTGGTTGGGGCCAGACCCCAGCCTTCCTCCCCTCTTTAGGGGCTGAATATTAAATGGCTAGTGAGACAGTTTCCTTCAGAGTATGGGGGACACCCTGCAAGATCAGGAGGTAAACACAGCAGGCCCATTTGTTTTCGGTCCCTAACAAGAGCTATAGTCCCAAGAGTCCTCAGGTGAATGGGTGAGAGGCTTTGCTCTGGAAAAGGGGGGTCGGCAGATGGCAGCTAGGGAGGCAGGCCAGGAAGAAGTGGTCCTGATGTGCACACCACCAGCTTGAAGCAGCACCTTTCTATGGGGAGATGGGGTCCAACGAGGATAGCCAGGAGAGCAGGAGACCTGACATCGTGTCTCACGACACTGTTTGTACTGAGTGCACTTGCTTTATTGGTCTGTGATCACTCCAGACCAGACAGGTTCTTCTATGTCTATGGAGCTTCATGGGGTGGGGGTGGCGGGAGAGGGGCAATACATGCATAGACAGGGGCAGAGGAATTTAGGGGCTCCCTATGTCAAGCTGGCCCTGAAACCAAAGATGAATGGAAATGGGGCTTTGTTTTTGAGGGGCCCAGAGTGGACAGGAGAGAGTCGTAGGCCAGGAGCTGAAATGTCGGACCTCTCCATCCCATCTCCAGGGCAGGGGCAGAAGATCACCAGGTGCTCTAAAGGGGCCCTTCCCTGGGGGTGGGGAGGCTGCACAAGGAACAGTAGGTTGCGTAAGAGCTGGACTGTGGGAAGGTAATGAGCTGTGGGGGTAGCTGAGGTGGCAGGAGCTTCATTAGGATCTTATCTCCAGATTTGTTAGGGGAAGAACAGAGGCCTTATTTGGGTCAGAGAAGTGCTCCTGGGAGGAGAGAGAAGCCTGTTTCTGTGTTGTTGAAGTCCTGTGTTTATCCCCCATGTGTGTATGTCTGAATGATGGAACACACTGCCTGTGTACATCTGCCTGATTATTTTTGGGTCTTTTTTAAAAAGTATTTTTGATTGTAGCAAAATACACATGACATAAAGCTTACCATCTTAACCATTTTTAAGTATACAGGTTCGATGCCATTAAGTACATTCATATTGCACAACCATCACCACCAGCTCTAGAACTTTTTCATCTCCCCCAACTGCAACCATGCCCTTTAAATATGAAGTCCCCATTCCTTCCTCTGCCGCAGCCCCTGGTAACCACCATTCCACCTCTGACTCTATGAATTTGACTCTTCTAGGTATCTCATGTAAGTGGAATCATACAGTATTTGTCTTTTTGTGATTGGCTTATTTCACTTAGCATAACGTCCTCCAGCTTCAGCCATGCTGGAGATTGTGTCAGAACTGCCTTTTAAAGGCTGGATATCCCATCGTGCATGTACATCACATTGTTTGTCCATCCATTCACCCACTGTTGGACACTTGGGTTGTTTCCACCTTTTGGCTATTGTGTGAATAAGGCTGCTTGAATGTGGGTGTACAAACTGGGCTCTGAATTTTTGTATATATTTCCCTCTGTGCCCACATTTGTATTCGATTCCATTTTTATAAGTAAAAAGCCACTGAATATTGGCAATTTCATATGGTTCAACTTGACATAAAACCTATACCTATGTGTAACTGTCCCTGTGCATGAATGTACATGTACCTACTGTCTGAGGTTTGTGTGTCTGCTTGGCTATCTTTAAGGATCTAGCCACACATCGGTGTATATTTACCTGAGTACACATCTGTGTACCTGTATGTACTCATGCGTGCATGTGTGCAGATCTATTTGTGCGCATGAGTGTCTGGGAGGTGGGGGGTGGTCTTTTACCCTAACTCAGGTTGTGGTACTAGGTGTATATACCAGGAAGTTCAACTGAGAGGGACAGGGATGGGAGGGGTTAAGTTGAAGGGGAAAGAGCTCCAAGGGATCCCTAACATCCTGATAATAAAAGCATACAAATCAAATAAAATTCTCCAGGGCTGCAGGACTGGCTGCCCCTCCCTATGGGATGAGTGGACAAAGGGCAGTGGGAGGGTAGACAAGTACATCCTGGCCTAGGGGCTGGGCCTTGGGGTGTGGGCCCAGGGTGATGGGAGCTGTACAGAAAGCTAGGCCCAGCCCCCGGCTGTACTGTGTTGGGCACAGGCCCCTTAATAACTGTTATTAAGAGGAAGAAAAATATTTTCCTGTCCAGGAGGTGTGTCAGGCGCCTTGCCTGGTATGATTCTGCCATCCTGGGGGCCATTCAGCACTGTGTGCTGTCTTTTACAAGCCAAGTGGCGCCTGGGCAGTTGACTGTCAAGTGGTAGTGGAGCAGAGGTTGGGCTGCAGCCATTCAGTTGAGGCTGTTCTGATCCTAACACTGCCACACACCTTAATATGGCACCTATGAGTCAGGAGAGACAAGATTCCTGGGAGGATCAGCCAGGGTTAGTTCGGGAGCCAAAATATGCCCAAATCCCTTGAATCAAGGCAAAATACCTGAGAGCTAAAGACAGGGACAAGTAGTAAGGATTCCCAGAGGTAGCCCTTGATGGGTATTGAAGGATGAGAAAGATTTCAAGATGTGCAGAATGACAGGCAGGGCCTTCCAGGCTGGAGGCCTAGAGAGGCAAGGGCATGCCTGCTGAAGGAAGGTGGGGAGGCGGTGCAGGGAAGGCCTGCCAGAAGGGTCTCCTGGAGCCACACTTGGAAGAGGTCCTTACTAAGGTGCTGGCTCTCACAGTAAAGACAGTACAGAGGTTTGCAAGATTTCTAGAGAGATACGTTAGGATAACTTAGGAAGCAGCCCCCCAGGGGTAGAGTGGCCCAAAGCACCAGACTCCTAGGAACAGTCCAGATGCACGTGGTTCACTGTTCTTCAGCCTCACATAGGCCTTCAGGTCACAATGGCTCTGGCATTTAATGGGGTGACAATCACAACTCTGAGTCACAGTGGCTTAATCTGTAAAATGGGACCAATACTACCTCCTTCACCAGGTTGTTGTGAGGAATAAAAGGGCTACCATATGTCAAGTGCCTGACTGATAGCAGTATTTCAGTGCATGCTGATTCTGGGGCTTCTCTGGCCATGAAAGGACAGGGGCTCAGTGAAGTCTAAAGACAAAAGAAGCAGTGACCAGGGAAAGGTCTGTCCCTTCTCGGGGGATGGGAGTAGGCATGTTCAGTTTGGGGAGGATACTAGCAAGTCCATTTGGCCAGAGACAAAGCTACCATCTCCAATCAGCCTTATCAGGAATACTGGTAAAGCTACCATTCCGATGTCCATCTATCTCTCTGTGTCTTCTCAGTTCATCCTGAACTTGGGAAGGCAGAAAGAGATATTACCTATTGACCTCTTAAGCTCCCAGCATTACTGATCCAGCTCCCTCTCCCTCCCCATCCTTCCCCTCCTCTCTCCCGACCATCCCATCCACCCAACATGTATTCAAAGCCTACTTTAGGCCAGCACTGTGGTCCCAAAGATGAGTAAGACTTGATCTCTTCTCTGGAGGAACTCAGTTTAGTGGGGAAGGTCGACTCATAATTATAAGCCACAGGTTAAGCCAAGGTATAAATTAAGTGCTTGGGGTTTAGAGCTCATGACCTATTCTGGAACCTAGAAGAACCCTGTCCACCCCACACCCCCCATCACCAACTAGGATACAGCCCTGTGGCAGGCTCTTTCTCAGGTGACTGGGCGGTGGAGGAGCTGTTTCTGACCACAGGGAGAGATGAAAGGAGGGAAGAAGCAAGCCAGCACAGGCCTCTGGGTTCTGGCTCCTGAAACCTTGAGTAAGCCTCTCAGGGCCTCAGCCTGCCGTCTGTAAAGCAAGAAGGCTGGGCTGAGGTCTCCAGGGCCCTTCTAGCATTCATGTATTCTATCACTTTTTGACATTACAGGTTGGTGCTTGAAGACTCCTTCCTGGAAATTTCCCAGTCAGGATCTCTAGGACCTTTGCTCCCCTCAATAGAAGGATGGGGGTTCCCTGACCTGGAAAGGTTCTGGGTCCTAAGCTCTCCAGCACGGCTCAGAAAAATCCCCGGGAAGTCACAGAAACCTGTGATGGGTAATCAACACCAGGACAGGTGAGTGGGAAGGTCACAGCCAGGGACCCGAGGTCTGGCCTACCCCTCCCTAAGGGCAGACCTGGTGGAGGGGCTGGCAAGGCATGGTGGGGTGCAGTGAGAACCAGGGCAACAGGCACAGGAGGTACTTTGGGACTGTCATGTTCTCTGCCCACAAACCTGCCAGCTCTTCTTTCCCCCTTCCCCCTAATGGCTGCTAAAATCTAGATTTGTTGGGCATCAACACCAGAATGAGCTCTCAGCCCTCATCTCAGAAACCCCTTGTCCCCATTTGTCCTCCAATCTCTAGTCTTAGCAAAAGGTCCCCTCCTCTCTTCCAAAGCCATGCCCTTGTTCTCCAGAGGGATTTAATAATCATAATTCCTAAAATTTTTGGTAAGTTTCCTACTCCATTAAGTGCTTTGCATTTAGTCAGAATCCTTCCCACGCTGCAACCCCGGATCTTTTCATTGTGCTGAAAAAACCTTTTTACCCTGTTCTCCTAACTCCTGTCCAATTTTTCTCCATTTCTTCTCTGCTAGGTACCTCCCAAGGTACCACAGCTGCTGCCATACCCTGCCTTCTTAACCTTTTGCAATTTGTATTCTCTCAAAAATCTTGTTCCTGGAATAAAGCCCTTAAGCATCATCTACTTACCCTACTCTCTGTAGCATGCAACATTAAGAGCTTCCTTTTTCTGGAAGCTCTCCTCTCCCCTGGCTTCTATTCCAGATTCTACCTCCTATGCTGGTTCCTGTTCTTTCCCACCCCTGCTGCAAAAGCTTTGTCCCACACCTACCCCAGTCCTTGGTTTATCCTTTACAAATTCAGCTCTAAGAACTCATCCAGTTTCATGACCTCAAGTGTCCTTCTATAACCAAGACAAGGCCAAAGTCCTTAGCCCGTCAGCCCTAATCATCCCCTGAGGTTCAGTCCTGTACTATGCCCTTGCCCTCTCTTGGGCATCTTTCACCAGACGGGTTCCCCATATACAGATACAACCAATGTGCACAAAAGCAATGGGGTAGGGGGCTCAGAAGACACATCTCTGTTCAGCTTTGCTACAGGGTCACCTTCTGCCAGTAAGTGGTTTCTTCTCAGTGGACCTGTTTTCCTGTTGCATGATGGAGGCAATAATCCCTGCCTGTCTATCTCATAGGAAAATGTAATTAGCATTACCAAGAAAGCACAATACAAAGAGAATTCCTCAAGTTCCCCTCTTCTGCAAGACATCACCATCTTCCGGCTCCCAAGAGAGCTCCCCAGTTCTCCCTTTCTTCAAGTTCCACATGCAGTGAGGCATCATGTCCCGATGATTTTTCTTCTCTGAAATGTCTCTGGGATTTGAACTTGTCTTTGAATTTTTACAATCACCCCCTCCCAAACCCTCAAGTCCAGCTGGCTGGAATCCCCCCCTGAAGGAGTCAATCCGTCCTGCACACCACTGGGCATCTTCAGCCTCATCAGGTCACAGTGTCTCCCTGCCGCCTGACACGGCTACCCCGCCTTTGGGGCTCCACCTGGATCTTGGCAACTTTTTCTTCCTTTAGCAAATGACGCAGCTGGTCCACTTGAGTCTGAAAAGACTCCTGTTCTATGCCTGCCCCTGGGCACCTCCTCACCTCCCACTTTTCTCTCCACCCACCTAAACCTTGCCCATCCTTTACGTCCTGACTCCCTTTAAGGCTTTTCTGGATTTCAGAAAACCCTTGTTCTGATTTTTTTTCCACTTGAGTCTGAAAAGACTCCTGTTCTATGCCTGCCCCTGGGCACCTCCTCACCTCCCACTTTTCTCTCCACCCACCTAAACCTTGCCCATCCTTTACGTCCTGACTCCCTTTAAGGCTTTTCTGGATTTCAGAAAACCCTTGTTCTGATTTTTTCTGTTAGTATGTATATGTGTCCACACAAGCCCACATGGCTGGAATATTCCTTTATGTCTCCTTTTACTTTTTAAGCTGACCCTCTCCCACCTGGCTTTCTCTTCTAGAACTAAAAACACTGGACTCGTTGTCAGAACCACCCAAGTCTGCATGCAAATGTGGGCCTCCCTGAGCTTAGTTTCCTCCAGCAGAAGCATGAGGTTAGTAACACTTGCCTCAAAGAACTGTCATTGAGGATTAAATGAAATAACAAGTGAAAATACCAAGTAGTGTCTGACACACAACAGAGACACAAAAAAATATTGGCTAAATTGTAGCCTGGGCTTTAACCTCAGCTTGATATAAAATACAGCATTTATGATTTTTACAATTTTAGGGAAAACCAAAATCTTAGGGGTACTATTCACTTCATTGTTCAGTGTTTCTCATTTAAAACCCCTATAATATAATCTTCTCTGAAGAGTAAGGAAAAGATTTGTTTCTTCTGATGAATAAGTATACTTCCTTTAATGTGGCAATGGGAACTGCATAACCTTAAGCTTTCCCATTTCTGCCTCTGGATGCCAGGAACCTCAGAATAGGCTTTATACTTAATTGCAGACTTCCTCGCTGACCTGCAGGAGGCGGTGTGGGATGGGTAGAGAATACGGGGTTAGAAGGTCCTGTCCCCTCCTTGGGCTGGTTAACCCTCCAGGCCTCTCTGAGCCTTAGTCTTCTCACTTGTGTAAAGGATGTAAAAATAATGAAGAGAACACTAATTTTACAGGATTGCTATGAGATAACACATTAAAAACTTTATAAATTACCAAAAAAGTCATAATGAAAGTTGGTTACTAATAGTTTAGGTTTTCTAACGTGAGTATTTTCCCTCTCTTCGCTCTCAATACTTGCATATCTTTTAAACTTTGTTTTGCAGTTTTATTTTAACTGTGTCTCTTCATTTGCTGTGATCCTTTCTGGGAATATATAGTGTAAATAAATGACAAAATTACTCCTAGAGAGCAGTCTCCCCGAGAGCAAGAAATCATATCCTTCATTTTGTTTTGTATAATAACAACTTACAAGAGAAAAACATTTAGCTACAGAAACAATGTTTCACTTTCATTCTGTGCAAAGGTAAAAGGAGATACTTTGTACTGATTTGTTAAAATAACTATAGGTTAACAATGTTGCTCACGTGAAACCTTGATAAGATTGTATATCAATGATAACTTAAAAAAAAAAAAACTATAGGTTAGACTGAGAGAATAGTCCAGAAAGGGGCATTTTTGTGGGCCTTGTACTGATAATGACTGATGATTTATTCATTCCTTCTTTTATGTAGCAAAGCTTAGACTGATGCCTACTATGAGCTAGGCACTGTACTGGGCACTGGGGAAAAAAAGATGACCAACCCAAACACAGCGCCCACTTTCAAGGAGCTCCCAATGCAGAATGCAGGGTTATGTGAATATAGTTTCAACAGAGTCTGTCACCTGGGGTGGACAGGAGAGGGAAGGACTTGAGGACATGTGAGATTTCTTTAGTCAGAAGCGGGAGGGAAGGGATTCCAAGCAAAGGAAACACACAGGGCGATCTCTTCAGGTAAGCCCAAGTGCTTACCTGAGAAGAAATCGGTTAGAAACCCACAAAGACAAGCACAGGTCAAACTAAGACGAAACTTGCAGCCTCTGAGGAGCCTAGATTTTATCTTGAAGGGGAAGGTGTCATATAGTCAGAGAAAGACGCCTTGAGGGCTTTAGGGCATCACAGACATGATAGATCTGATTTGACTCTTTGAAATGCGGCTCTGTATCACAATCGCAGTGTCTGATGATTCCTCATCTTAGGGAGACAGGATTTGGTTGTGCAGGCAGGGAGCATCTTCTGCTGGATGTATTCATAAAGGGCCTGTATGAACATAGGCCAACTGGGATGTTGAGAAGGGGAGTCAGCTCTGGACCAGGGCTGGATAAATAACCTCCAAAGTTCCTTCCAAATCTGAGATTCCATGACTCTAAAGAAACTCCAGTAGCTAAACTGGTGCTGTGGGCTGGGATCTGTGGCTGGGGAGCTGCCCTGGGCAGCAAATGGGTTAAGGCTTAAATTACTTTTATATATGAATTAATGTGTAGAGTTGGGAGCCAAAATCTGTTCCATTAATTTTTCCATCCATTCCAGGAGCAGTTAGGTACACACAGTAAAGTTTATTTTGGTGCATGGTATACTTCACTCCATTAAAAATAAATTAATCAGCAAATTCCTGCCTGGCTCAGCTCTGGTTTATGTAAATAGTGCCCAGCTGTAATGAGTTACAAGGTGTTATTATCTCACACACACAGAGGAGGCTTCACTCTAGAGCTCCACTTGCAACAAAAGCATCTTAAATAAACTCAGAGAAGGGGGTTTGATTTGTAATGTTTTCACAGAACTGGGATATACCTCACCCATATAGAATTTCTTTATATGACTCATTTTATAGCAAGTTAAATGAAGGAAGTTTGATGTGGGGGAGGGAGCATCCATGTGGCTCCCCGCCCCCTTTCTTCAATTCAAAGAAAATCCCCCAAGAAATGACCCATACTAAGAGGGAGGAGGGGACTGGTCCTCAAGTGCTCAGACCAAGGTGGCTCTGCAGCACGTGCTCCAGAGGCGGGGGAGGGGGCAGAAAACAGCATGGAGCTGGGTCCTGGGATGGTACAACTGAGCCAAGAAGAGTGTTCTATTCTTCTCCCCAGTATCTCATATTAGGGAAGCCAAGAAAGGAAAGACAGCATGTTTCTCATCCAATTCAACTCAGCGGGAGGAGGGAGCGAGGACAAAGGGACCTTTGTCCTTGAGGCCTCTTTCTAAATGACTCAGGATGTGATAAACCCCTTGCCCGTCAGAGGACCCCTGGGTCTCAGAGGATGGGGCCTGGCAGGCTGTGCAGGCAGCAGCTGACCCTCTCCCCTTCGTTGTCTCTAATTCAGCTAGGCGATACTCAGTTTATGGCATCTGCCATCTCAGAAAGTGTCTAAAGACCCTGGAATAAATAAGATCCACGGCGGAGATAAATCTCTATTTCTTTTAATGCCTAACTCAACCCCACAGCTCAAACCCAGAGGACAGAGCATGGTTACTCCTCCTAACTCAGCAGCCCTTGGTGGGGGGTGTCCCCTTTCTAACCTACCCCCATCCCTCTTGTGGCCTTTGGGAAACTCTGTCAATCACATGGTTGCTGGAGGGAACTTGGGGAGTACATGCTGGGGAGATCCTGCTCAGGGCTTCTCTTGAGGGAAAGATTATCTCCAAAGATACAAGGACCGTAGCCCACCATATCAGACTCCTGCGCATACTAAGAGGAAAATCAACACAATGGGGCCAAGTATTTGACAGAAGCTGTTCAAAGGTCAGTTCAGGCCACTTTCTGCAAGGTCCTGGTCCAAACAGGCACCTCTCTCCTGGCAATTCCTCAAAGCCAGCTGGCCAGCTGTTCAGAAGGCCAAGCCCATCAAAGACCCTCGTCGTTGTAAGTTGGGGAATGGGGCTTCAGGACGCTCTGAGGATTCTTCTCCACTAGAGGGCGCCAGCTCACCTCCCCTGTCAGAAGCAGATCTTCACCATTCATGGAGTCCAGGTACTGCATCTGCAGCCGGGAGAGAGGGAGACAGGAAAGCAACAAGGGCAGGACAGATGTGAGGTGGCATAAGGAGCCAGCCTCCCAAAGGAGAGGGAGGGGAGGGTGCATAAGGGGGCTTCTGACCACCCCAGCTCCCAACCTAGGGGTTCTCTGATCTCCCAGATGATTTCATTCAAGGGAGTAAAGGAGTTGGGAGAAACAAATCACAGGGGATGCTCCTTTGGGAAGGCTTTAGGGAATTCCTCATCACACGTCTGAATGGACAGAGAGACGAGCCATGACTTTCTGGACTGCAAGAACTTTCTAGGGAGGATGTATCGGGAGACATGTCCTTGGTGGGGCTGGGTTGGGGGGATGTCTGTCCTTTCAGGGTAGCAATGTTAAGGTGGGCCAGTTTCCTTCTCTGAGATTTAAGTTCCCCTGTCTGAGAGAGGAGATAACATGTACCCCACAGGACTCATGAAAAGATTAAATAATGTAACATAAGAGCATGTACACTGCTAGTCACTGGAACTCTTTAATAGGTATGCCTCTACTGTCCTCTAGTGGGCCCTGAGCCCCTGGTCAGTAGGCCCCAACTCCAGTCAGTGGGCCCCAACTTCAGCCCTCTAGGATGGTTGGTTGGTGGGGTTACTGACAGCAGTGTGGAGAGGGGACGCCCTGACAGAGAATAGGAGCAGCTGCAGGGCAGGGGTGGTTGGGCAGTTCTGACTTAATGATTGGTCAGGTGTCAGGAGATAAAGGTGGTCTCTGCAAGCATTCCCCAGGCTGCTGCTGGTAAGGAGAGCAGCACAATGGGAAACTTTCAGGTGAGAGGCAATTCCAGGATGAGAGCTAGATCACAGCAGGAGTCAGTCCTGGATCCAGAAGGCGAGGCGCCATTTTGGGGTGAGAAGCATTTATGGGGGAAAGTGGAGGGGCAAGAGTCTAGAGGCCTCATTTTAGGCCTTGGATTGTCTCCATCTTCCAAGAACTCCTTCATTTCTACTGCTTCGTATTTAGGTAACTGACCCTTCCCCTCACTGCCTCTCACATAGACCTCAGGTCTAGATTTCCCATGTCCTGCTGTCTTTCAGTGCAAGGTCAACTGATCCATTATCCTCCCTAAAAATCCACTCCTCTTTCCAACAGTCCATGTCTCTTTTTATTGCCAGTACTTTGCCCATTTCCTGGGTTGAACATCTCAACATCATCTCTGACTGGGTTTTGGGCCATCTACCAGACCAAGTGCTGTCATGGCAAGGACTAGAGTCTGCTCGACACCCAGCTTCCTGGTCTTCCTGATCCGTTCTGTCAGACCTCTCTCCTTTCTTTGGCCTTCCATAGCACTTTGTTCCTACCCATATCACATCACACACTGACTCATTCCAGGGTTAGCCCTGGGCCTGTCTCCCTCACCAAACCATGAACTGGCTCCTTAAGGGCAGGACTGGGTCTTACTAATCTCTGCTCTCTCAACAGAGTGTACCAGAAGGTGCTCAGAAGTTTTGCTGACAGAACTGGGTGCCCATCAAAGCTGCTTCCCTAAGAGCCCTAGCACTATTTTCCTATTGCCTGCCTCTCACTGGAGCAATATGGGACTTCTTACAGGGGGACTGGTGTGGCAGCCTCTTCCTTTAGGGCCCCCAGAGAGGTCACCAGCTGTACCCTTATCATGGCCCCTGGCACAAACCCACCACAACAGATGGAAAAGTTGGGCTGGTCTCTCAGAGAATTTGGCATTTGCTTTGCCAACTGCTACTCCTGTCTGAGGGCGAGTCCAGTCAACAGTGTGAGCCTTAGAATTCTCCATGGGTGGGGCCCTCTGGCTGCAGTGCCTTCTCTGGCTCAGGCAGATTTGAAGAATGGTCAAACAGAAGTCCTGACTTTTGGGGTTCTCTACCCTCTAGGTCTGAAGAGAACCAGTATGTGGTTTTTCCAGTAATCAACAAGCTGGTCTTGCTGGCCCTGTCTTCTCAAAAGCCAGGGCCTGGCCTTCCCTTTCTTGGCTGTTGGAGGCTTGAAGGCCATAGACACAGTTGAGTAAGAGAGTAACTGTGAAGTGAGGCCTTTTTGGCTCCAGAGGTCAGGCCCATGAAGCAGCTGTATGACTCATGGGACAGCCTGAGCTGATGAGCTGCCTGGAGCAGCATCAGGCCTCTAGTGGCTACGTGAATCAGCTTGGGGTTCTAGGCCAGCTATGCAGGCTGACTCACTGGGAGACCCTGGAAAAGCCTCCATGTTCTTCCCCGTCACTCAGGTCACTCATCTTTAAAGCATGGGTTTCCCTTCAGTATAGGATCAGAAGGCAGAGATCAAGAAGTGAATTCTCCATGGGCCTGAGGAAAACTATGGAGTTAAGCAGTCCACACTACAAAGGTCTCTCTTGGAAGCTTTGGTATCAGGGAGCCTTGGGGAGCCAAAGGGGTGAGGAATGAAATGGGGTATGGGGGGCCCCTGCTTGACTGTGGATAGCACCTGGTAGAAAAGGTGTGAGGAATACCTGTGGAATGCTGCCTGGAGCCCTGTCCTGCTAGAAATCAGGAGCAGAAAACATGAATCCTGGGGCTCAAAGTGGGTACAGAAGGGGGGCTAGAGTGAGTAGCTGCACTGAATCCCATGCCAATATCTGTCAGGACTATGGGTATCCAGGATCCAGCACTGCACCTGGCACACAGTAGGCAATGAACTGTGAGTGATGAATGACCAAAAGCTTATGGAAGCAGACTACTCAATGCCTTTTCTTCTTCTGTTCTCATTCCCTGACCTCTGACCTGGTGCGTGGTTAGATACACAGAAGGTTATCCATCCATGCCTGTGGCTGACATGATTTGGTCAGAATTCCATCATACTGGCCTCTGGGAACTCAACCTCTCATGATCCTCTGAAAGTCCAGCATCCACAGACCTCAGGAAGGACCTGCTTTCCATTAGACTCTGGAGAGGAGGGGCTGCTCACCTGTTTCCTCACATACTCCACCAACAACTCAAGCTGTCGGGGGTCTTCACACTCATGGTTGAAGAAGGTTCTCCAGAGGGCAGCAGCCAGACCATGATCATCTGAAAGGATCCCCTAGAACACAAAGTACAACCATTGGTTCTTCCCAGGAGTATGGCAGAGCTGTGATACAAAAGCTGGGGATGCTGTGAACATGCTAGCAACTACAGAATCAGTTCAGAAGGACTTTACAGATACTAGAAGAAAGAAATGGGGCAGCTACATGGTAGAATTGGAAGGGGTTTTCAGAGAGCATGTGGTCCACCCCCTCATTTTATGTAGAGAAGGAAAGAACATGAGATCTAAAGGACCAAGTGACTGGCTATGGTTGAAGAGATGGGGTTTGTGTCTGGCTGACCCTCCTAGGCCATAGCAACCTCTCTCGACCATAGGGCAGCCGGCCCATGCAATCAATGCCCGAGGGGCCAGGACGAGAAACAGTAGCAGCAGTGGTTCCACTGCTGTCACAGGGGATGGGCTTGGAGTATTGTGAGCATACATTTTTTTCCCTCAGGATCAGAGTTGGCATCTTCTCTCCTCATCCAAGGGCACACTTCTGCAAGACAGCTGGCTCTGGGGAAGGGAACCAGGCACCTTTTCACTGTCACTCAGCTCTGAGCTGGCCACAACTGGCCCAACCTCCCTAAGTAGAGGTACAGGTTGTTTGGCAGGACTGTCATGGGCCACAGAAGAAATGCTCAGAAAACACGTGTGTGTATGTGTGTGTTTGCACTTAATGCCACCTGTCCCAGAGAGCTCTGCTGGGAAGCCCAAATATCCAAGGCTAATCAGCAGCTGCGCCATGGACTTAGGGCCATTTTCTAGCTTGCACCTCTCTGGACCTCCCTAAGGGAAGGAGTGAGGGAGGGGTCTTGCTTCCCGGTGAGGGTGAGTGAATGGAAAGGCTCTGAGAAGAAAGAGCAGGCCCTTGTCCAGGTGCCAAGGTAGTGTGTGGAACCAGACAAAGTACTAACTGGGACTTAGAAACCGGAAGGCCAGATCACATCCTAGCTCTGCCAATATGCTCAGAGATGGGGATTCACTAAACCTGAGTCTTAACTTCCTCATCTATTAAACAGAAATGAAAATGCTTGCCCTTCTTAATAGCGTCTTTGAATTATAAGAGAATGTAAAGGTGTTTTGTTAAGAATAATATGTGAGATACAAAGATTAGGAGCTTGCTCTGTCAGGCAGCTGTGGATATAGTTGAAGAAACTGCGGGACAGACTACCTGAGTTCAAACGGCAGCTCTGCTACTTAAAAACTGTGTGGCCTTTGGTAAGTCACTGGCCCTTCCTGAACCTCAGTTTCTCATGAGCTAAAAAAGCATAATAATACCTATTCTACAGAGTTGTTGTGAGGATTAAGAGAGAGTGGCATGAAAGGCTCCCTCAGTGGTAAATCACTACACAGAGACCCAGGATCATTTAATTGATTTGTTGTGGGCTGACCTCTGGGTCATCACGGTACACGAGGTCTAGCATCGGGCCTGTCAGGAAGGTCCATGTCAGTATGGGGGGCTGACAGTTTGGTGGAAAAGCATTTCACCTGTTCCAAATGCCCCTTGCTAAACACACACCTATAATTCCATAGCTAAGGAGACGGTCCTGGCACAGTGGCTGAGTCAGGAAAAACAGCTTCTTCTGGCAGGTGGGGACAGGAGCCAAGGACAAGCTCAGACACATCGCCGTTCTCCAAGCTATTTGCTAACACAACAGCCTGGCTGTGTCTGAGGTGCCCTGGGTACATGCCGGAGTGCTGCTGGCAGTGACCCATGTGTGCTACATGGGAAGGAACAGGAGTGGGAGTGGGTGTTATGAGGACTTGGAGAATGAACACAGAGCACAGGACAGCAAAAGCCCTGGGAGCCACGGTCTGCTGCAAACAGGCAGCTTCAGTGATGGGTGAGATGGCTGGGAAGGGGCAAGCCCATAATCGGTCAGAAGGAAAAGGATGACTCACGATTTGGATTAACAGTGATAATAACCTGACTATTCCAGACTGAATTTCTTCCCACACTGGCTCCTAATAACTATATATGCTAAGAAGAGCAGATATTATCATCCCCATTTGAAAGATAAGTATACTGAGGCTTAGAGGTAATCTAGTTAATTGGTGGTAGAATTAAGACCAGAAAGTACTGGTGAGGTCAAGAGGTGGTGCTTGACTGGCTCTAGATAGAATGTGGTACCTGACACAAAGCAGAGTGCACTGAAAATGGTTGGGTAAATCAATGAACCCAACTTCAGGCTTTTCTCTACCACTGCTTGTAAGGCAATGAAAACAAATGGGAGACTGGTCTGAGAGAGGAAGCAGGAAAGGAAAAAGGGTGCCCGGGAGCCAAATACTAGTTTGCATAGCAATTTTCCCACAGTCTACTAGGGTTCCTACTTGTTTTCCCTCCCACTACAAAAAAAAAAAATTCATCCTTTAGGAAATGAAAACATCCAGGTTTAGAGTAACTGAGAGGAAGCCAAAGGGGCTATGTAGGCCCTAGAGGGCCCTGGTTATGGTTCAGAGTCTCACTCAGTGAAAATTGATCTGACACCACTACATGCTCAGCATGATGCTAAGAACACAGAATCACAGCAAAATGGCCTCAGCCAGCAGAAAGCTTGCAATCTAATTGAAAGGACAAAGCTAGTACACATCACACAGCAGCAGATAATTAAGTCCTGGAGAGAGAACGATGCTAATCTGCACAGGGGCTCCAAGGAACACTCTTAACATGGCTGACTCCTCACTCTTCAGTCTTAGCTTCTATGACAACTCCCCAGAGACCTTCCCAGTTCACACAAGTATACTGCCCCTTCTATTCTCTATCACTGCACTCTATTTGTAATTAGATATTTTGCTTGTTTAGTTGATTAGTGCCTTTGTCCCCATTAGAAAGTAAGCTCCAGTGGGAAAGACCAGACCATGTTTGTTTCATTCACCAATATATTTCCAGTGCCTCGCACATGGTGGGCACTTAATAAATACCTGTTAAATGGATGAATGGACAGATGTTGAAATTCAGAGTAAAATGCACAGGTTTAGGGAAGTCAAGGAAAGCTTTGTGGAAAAGGGGACCTTTAAGAATAGAGAATATTTGGAGAGCTACAAGGCATTCTAAGCACTAGAGAATATTATTTCACTACATGTATACAGGGAGTGTCTATAAGGTTTTAGGCACTGAATCAGGCCCTCAGGTCAAAAGCTGATAGACTCAGCTACTGCCCTCCACACCTAGTTGTCCAGCAGAGCTTCATTCAGGTAGAGCATGTCTGTGGAGCAGTGAGGTGAATGGCCTCTCTTGGAAAGAAGGCTACATATAGGAGGGTAATGGAAGTTAAATGTGGACAGGACATGTCACAATGGGGACAGTTCCCAGAAGGCCTGGACATTCCATGGAGGAATATGGACCTAATGTAGTAGAAGGTTCCAAAAGTGCCCACCACCCAGGGTAGGGGCACAGTCCAAGCAAGATTCTAGGATAAGTGCCATAGAATAGCACTGTCCAATCCTGTGACGATGGAATGTTCTACAGCTGCACTGTCAAAAACAGGAGCCACTAGTAACATAAAGTTACCAAGCACCTGAAATGTAATTAGCATGACTGAGGAACTGAAGTAGATCTAATTGTTCTGATATGCAAGGATGGCCAAGATACCTTGTTGAGTACCAAAAAGGAGTTGCAGAATAGTGTGACTACCATTTGCATAAATAAATAAATATATAGATTTTTGTGTATGCACAGATTACATCTATAAGGACACCCAATAAAGTATTCAACTATTGACGCTTTTCTCCAGGGCAGGGAATTCGGCAGGAGAGGAGCGGGGCCTTCTATTTTTCTAATTCAACCACTTATGCATAGTTTTATGAGTTTTTAAAATGAGGATCTATTGCTTTTGTAATTAAAGCCAAATAAGCATGTGATTTGTCTGGCAGATCATGCATGCTGTTTATGAGCAGAGGTCTTCTCTCTAGAGGCACCTGGGGCTGAGACAGTGACTGATTGACATTAGTCCCTCCACAGGCACTCAATAAAGGCTGACATAACTGAATGACTTGATTATATTATACAGTGCTCTCTTCCCAAGCACTAGGCAAACTCCTGGGCATAATTAATCAGGTTGCTGAGCCAATGAAGCTAAGGAAATAAATAAAATACTAAGTTGTAATGGTAGATAGTGATAATGGTCCCTGAAGCTTTTCTCAGAGGCTCTCAACAAAACCTTTGTTAGGGGAAGTCACTGTTCTGCCTAAGGCTGGGCAAGTGATCTTACCTCATCATATCCCAAGATTGCTACATAGAAATTATTTGTCATAAACATCATGTTCTTCTTCAGGATATAGGAATCAACCTACAGAAACAAAATGGCAAAAATAAAAGTATGAAAGAAAGGAAAAAACCAGAAAGTATGATTTTAGTTCTTAACTGTCAGAGACTCTTAGTAGAACAAAAAGAGAGCATCTCTAACAAGTCAAACCATCAGTCTACAGCCATTTCCCTGATCTGTCAGGATCCTTACCAATTTGACAGCTTCTTTTAGGTTCTGATACCAAATTACACAAAGTGGTAACTCAGTTTAATGAATGAGCTCCAACTACATGTCAGGCTTTGTGCTAAATCCTATGAACACAAAGTATGCAATCTACTATGGGAAAATAGACATGTAAAAAATAATTATACAGGAATGTGTTGCCTCAAATTCTATTCCAAAAGTGGTAAACAATAAATGAATTTTAGCACAAATCATCTCTGCCTGGGGAGGCTGGGGAGGAGTTCTCTAGGAGGTAACACTCAAGTGGACCTCAGAGTGGGAGGTGTCTGACAAGAGAGGGGAGGCAGAAGACATTCCAGATAGAGGAAACAAGCGTGCAAAGGTACAGAGGCCAGAATGAAAGTGTTTGGGAGTGCCAGGGAGGGTGAATGGGAGGAACACAGTAAGGTATGTTGGGATGGGTTAGGAAATGTCTTAAGGGCTACTCAAAGGAACTTGTGGTGAAAGGACAGAAGAAGGAAGTTGTCAGAGGTGGGAAGAGGAGGGAAAGAGGCAGGACTATAGGTGAGATGCTGAGGAGAAAGGAGAGGAGAATAAGACGGGCTGAAGAAGTAAGACTGTTAATGTTAAGAGACTGTTTCAAAAATGCAATTCCAGCAAGACTATTGAGACCCTGGTAGAACTGTGCACAGAGAATGACCAGGTAGGCCTTCAGAGCCTAGAATGTAGTTCACTGAATGTCTTCAATAGGGTAAAACTCTGACCTCCAGGAATATTCATGTTTCATTCCTCTCTGGGATCCCAGCAGAAAGCCTGGTGTAATGTGTAATACATACTAAGGATTTGCTGAATATTTAAACTGACCAAAAGTTAAAGAAACAACCAAAAGTCATGTGGAATATGTATAAATAGGGAGAATAAGATTTGTGCTTAATAACCGTGACCATGACCATGAGCACTGTCATCTCCTCTATTTACTGAGCACCTGTTATGGGCCAGGTACTTTACAGACATCATCTCCTCTGTCACTAGAACACAAGAGAGCTAGGTAGATATGCTATAGTGCACATGTTATAGACAGAGACAGGTGAAGTGATTTGCCCTAGGTCCCACAGCAAATTAGGGATAAAGCTGAGATGAGCATCCAGGTCAGTCTAAATCAAAATCTATATACCTTATGTTCCATTGGGTTCCTACCTGCAGGAGGACAACTTTACTTTGGATCATAAACCAAAGACTGTGTGATTTAATCCTGTGATTCATAATCAGTCTCTGAAGAAGGGCAGAAAACAGCAGTGAAGGGGTCTGAGTTAAGTAAAAAAACTTGGGTTCAAGTCATAATACTGTGGTATACATACAATGTGATCTTGGGCAAGTCAAGTAACCTCTCTCAGTCTATTTCCTTGTCTTTAAATGCCCTTCATACTCGGCTGAAGAGCAAATGAAGTATCATGTATTCATTCATTAATTTCATAATGTATGCTGAAAGCCTTGCTAAGCTTTAAAGTGCTCTGCAAATGCAAGGAATTAGGGGTAATACTTTCTGGTTATTTATATAAAACTAAAACCAGTTCCAATACTTTATAGTCATGGATAATTCTCAAAAAGGAAGAACTGTGAAGCTCAAGACTGGAGAATGTGAGATTGGATGCAGCTGGTGGTGCAATCCATGACCTTTCCCACACCACCTTCAACTCAGGCCAAATTAGCCATCTATCCTTTGTGTTCCCAGAACTCTCTGTCTGTACTTCTCCTGGGAGCAGAACATGGTTTACAGTCCCTTATGGACCTGTCTCTCTCACTAATCTGTGAGCTACTCAAAGGTCATAAGGAACTCTGTCTGATTAATCCTGATACCCCCATCACCCAGTCCAGGGCCTGGCCCAGAGCAGGATTTAAGATGGGCATGCTTATGACTAAATCCTTACAATGGCTTGAGTGCCATACATATTGTGTTCTATCCAATAGTGTGTCTGCTTTTTTTGCTGCTGAGTACGATCTACATTTCTGAAAGTTCAGAAATATGTACTGCTTAACTTCTTATTGTACTATCTTCTAGAATGGGCTGAGCTGAAAGGAAGAGTCAAGAAAGAAGCCAGAGCTAGAGTTAATTCCTTCTGTAACATGAGAATGGTACTGCAACCCAGACCTGTTGATGCTCTTTTGGGGCTCTCCCTACTCCCTACTAATTGTTCTCCTAACTGTACAAAGACCAAAGCCATAAACAGACATCATCAGAGATGTCAAACACAAAAGCAGGTGCATCTCTCAGCAGTAAACATTCATTGAACCTGCTCATGTGTTGCAACAAACCATTAAGTTTTAGAGCTGGAAGGGATCAATTCCACCTAGCTCAATCCTTTTGAGGAAGTGGTGAACTGAGACCCAAAAAAGGGGAAGGGGCTTGTCCAAGGTCATATATCAAGTTAGTGTCAGAGGCAAGATTAGAACCTGATTTCCAGAGGAGCGCTTTTCCTACCTCACTATCTGCAGGGCATTTCCAGAGATCACCAACACATTACTCTGCAAACCTCAGTTCTTGCTGTCCAGCAAGGTCTATTTACATACAGACAATTTCTCCTCTTCGGATGCACCTGCATTCTGGCTGGCTACTGCCCAGGAAGAATGGAAAGCAGAAGTGGAATTCCTTATTAGCAAGGTTCCTCTACCTCCTGGTGTTATATTCTAACTCCAGCAAGAGGTAAGCTGCCTCTCCCCCTCACTCCTAGCTGAGGGATGGCAAGCTGCCACAGCTAGGAATGGTTTTCAGATATCATCACCCAGCTGGATTAGATCATGAAAAGGGCCCTTCCTGGAAAAGGGTGGAAGCTCAATCAGTGCAGGCACATGATCTACAGACAACAGGTGAGGGTAAGTGAGAGCAGCTTCCTGGACTACTGGACTCCACCCCATTGGGTCCTTCTAGCCAGCCCAGGAGCCAAGGGGAGCTGGGTATCCCCTCTGGTGAATCTCTGTTGTGACTTTATGCCAACTTACGCTTTTGTTTGCTAGTGTGGTTCTGTGTCCCCACTGCCAGATCATTCTATGTGGAGCACCCTGCCCACTACACCGATGGATAAACCAGATGAGAAACTCCTCCCAAATAGGGTTGGGCTGTTCTCTTATTAAACTCTTATTATCCTTTCCACAATGCTGTGCTTTTAATAAAAACCTATACATACAGCACCACCACAAGGAAAACGTTCCTTTTATATCAGTTACTCATATTTTCCCATTTATTTAAGCTATTAAAATTCATGCAGATATTTTATAAGCCATCAGGATTTGGTAACTGGTATTACTGAATGTTTAATAATAAACTAAACAGAAGAAATCAGAGGGTTAAATGATGACTGCAATTCCTGTAATGACTTAATTAAATTTTTATTGAGTACATAAACTATGATGTCACTTCTAGCCAACCATGGGTCTGCTTTCCCAGCATGTCACAGGGTGGGAGCACTCAATAGGAGGCTAGGCTAAATGAGCAGTAAGTCTCAGCTGAGATGGGGAGGGGAGCAAGGCTCATGTAACACACTCAATAAATTATCCGTTCATTTTTAAACAAAGTCCATGAGTTATAATATATTTGCCATGTACTTTTTATGACATAATAAAAATGTTACCTTAAGGATTACTTAACACATACTACAAATGTTATGGCAGAGGCAGACACAAGGGGCAAAGAAAACAAACACGAGTAGGCCAGAGACGGGTCCTGGAGTTCACATCCTGGGGGAATGGCATACTATACTAAAAAGGGAATGCAAGAAACAGGGTGGGATGCCAGAGTTCAGGGCTACTAATCAGCAGATTAATGAATGAGACAACCAACAGGGAACACAAGTAAAGCAATAATGAACCTTGCAAGGCACATGTTTAATTAATGTGATATTCTTGAGGAGAAACATTAGCTTTAAAGAGATGCCAGTTCATTTGAGGCCAGTTCATGCCCTCCTTCCCCTTTCTGAGGGTTGCTGCTCTTAAAGACGTTTATGTGACTGAACTGCTCAACAGAGGAACCAGATTATGTGGAGGCAAGGACTGATGGAAGATGAAGTTTAAACTCCTCTATGATCTCCACAAGGTTCTTTGTCATCTGTCCTAGGTCATCTTTCCTGCCTTACCTCCTCCCACCTCCCCACTTTTATCTCACCTCTCAGGCAAAGTAAACTATGTACAATTTCCACAAACACATCATGCTGTCCTATAGACCTTAAAGCATAACACTGCCGGGGAATCTTTCTACCTTCTTCATCCATTGGAATGTCAACTTTCTCATTCTCTAAGACTTAGCTTACAAATGATATCTTCTACAAAGCCTCCTCTCTTTCCAGTCTACAGGTGCCATAAAAGTGATCTGAGTCCAGAAACAGGTCCCATAATTCACTATTTACCATATGCCAAGAACTATGCTAACAGCTTTTATACATATGAGGCCACTTAATCCTTCCCAGTGACTCTATGAGATAGGTGCTTTTACTATCCCCACTTTAGAGAAAGGAAACTGATGTTTGGGAAGGTTTAGGTTATACAGCTAAAACATAGTGGGTCAAGATTAGAATATAAAGCAGTCCAACTGCAATGCTTATCGACATTGGAACAAACACCATCCCTTCATGTACCCTACACCTCAGGTTTCCTGGAGAGGCAGGGCTAAGAAGTGCTGATACAGTCTTGAGTAACACAACTCAGATTCCCAATTCTAACAGTAGCTAGAGATGGGCCACCAGTGGCCAATCACTAACACATCAGACATCCCTGGTATAGCTAGACCCCATCCTGGGAAAACTAGGGGAAAGAGGGGTACAATTCTGGTGTGGGAGGGGAGAATGGAAGAAGTTTGATATGGACAACAA